GCATGCAACATGTTGCACCGTGTATGATACCCTATTTTGTTGCATGCAACATGTTGCTTGAAGTTGACAACCATTCAACTTGGTGCAACATGTTGCACCAAAACATCAAAGGTAACCTAGGACACACCAATGGAATGCAATTATTATTAACTAATATCAATAAGTATAGTTAAATTTTAAAACGGCGGTTGATCAATTAAGTTGGACTCAAGAGCAAATATGTGTATTGCTTGATCTGTACGAAGAGAAGCCATGCTTATACAACACTCTACACAGTAACTACCATAATAGAGATAAACGAAGAAGTGCTTTAGCAGCACTGTCCTCTGCTTGTGGTTTCCCAGGTTAGTCAGTGATGATGTGCTCAGTCCAAGTCTCAGTCATGTCAGCATGTCTTGTCTACTGTTTGGCATAATAATAATTTAACTTACTATTTAGTGAAAGAAATTGAAAAAAAGTTGAGAAGTTTAAGAGCACAGTATACAAGAGAAAAGAAAAAAACCAAAAACAGACCTACAGGAACTGGTGTCGATGACGTGTATGAATCCAAATGGGTTTTCTTCAAGCGTCTCCAGTTTCTCGATATCTATATCACACCTAAAGCTACCCAATCCAATTTAAAGGTACTAGTATTTTTTGTAGCATGTACATGTAATTGATATATACCGTCATGCACTGTCAGTTTTAGTAAATTATAATAGTAAAATGGAATTAATGACTCTATATATAAGCCAATTAAGATCGAAGTTAAATCATTTTGTCCTGCCATGGTAATGCTCCCTTGTCCGAGTTGAAATACTCGCATAGATAATCCCTTATTTCTTTAGCCTTGGCTGTGTAGTTATTACTACCTTGTCTTTCAATGTCGATAATTCCTGTAGGCTGTTTTTCAGTACGCCATGATCCTTGTATAGTGCGATAAGTAGTGGTGTCTTCTGCATCAACGCTTCCAGGTGGTGATAAACATGTCTTGCTGATGAGGATCGCAAGAAATTGTGTAAAGAGCAGCAAGCTAACACAATAGTTTCAGCTTTATCAGGGGACAATCTTATAGGAGTCATAAATACTTGAAAGCGGTTTGCTAGTATACCAAAGGCATTTTCAACTATTCTTCTCGCACGGCTTAAACAATAATTGAATATACGTTTTTCCTTTGTTAACCCAATTTGAGCATATGGCTTCTGAATGTAGGTCTTCAAAGGAAAGGCTTCATCAGCCACAATCATGTAGGGTAAAGGAATGCCGTCCTCACAAATAGGAAACGGTAAGGGAACGTTTAGGCTATTGGTTTCTAAAGCAGCACATAGACTTGAGTTTCTTCCATTGCATCCGATATTAACATATGTAAACTTGTAGTCTGCATCCACCAAGGCTAGCAGCACAATACTAAAAGTATGTTTATAATTGAAATAATAAGACCCACTATTGGGTGGGGGACGGATTACGATATGCTTCCCATCCAAAGCACCAATACAATGAGGGAATTGCCAGTATGTTTCAAAACCAGTAGCAATTTCCTTCCACTTGCTGGTTGTGGTTGGTACCTACAATAAATAATGATGTATTTCAAAGCAATATAATTGTATGCTATACAGTGATGTACATGGTACGATTATATTAGCTTGCATGCATAATTATGGGCATACATAACTTATTATGTACAGCTATAGCGCTACACTGTATAATATAGTATTTACAAAGTAAACTTTGTTATATAGGAGGAAGATCAAGAAACTGATGAGAGTAGTATGATGGAAGACAGTGGTGACTGTGGAACATGTGATGATGATAACAATGAAACAGAATTATCAAATAGTAGTCTGCAGCAAGATATGGGTGCTGATCAAGTACGTTCCACGAAGCGACCAATTTCAAAAGGGAAGCAGTCTGCCTCAAAGTGTGCCAAGTCAGTTAAAAAAGAGAACCCCGAAGACATATTGTTAAAAAAAGCTATTCAATGTATGGAGAGAAATACCGACAATGACTTACAAAAAAAGGATGCAGACGATGTTTTCGGTCAGTACATTGCCACTGAACTGAAATGTGTACATGATATCAATCAGAAGCAAATTATCAAACACAGAATTCAATCTGTACTGTTGACAGCATTAGTCCCTGGAACCTCAGACCCACATTTTTCCTACCCAAATTCATCGTCACCTTGGCAAGCACCGTTTCAATCCTTTTCATCACCTGGACAAAGTTGGCAAGGTTCTCCTTCCCCAACTCCATCAGACTTCAGTCATGTCTCAGGCTCTTCAATAAGTTATACACAACCTCCATCTGCTGCATCAAACAGTGCTATTAATGATAAATAAACAGACATCTGTCCCGTGTGACATCTACAAATACTTATTATACAGTGTAACTCTACATAGCAACTTTTATACACATGAAGGATTCTTGGTTGATAATTATACGTTCATTAAGAATACATGTATTATAATGTAATTTATTATACCTCAATGAAGCTATGTAAACATTTCACTATTGCACCACACGT